AGCTGCTGCTTCTTTTCAATCAGGTTACACTTCAACCTCACCCCAAGGAACCTATTCAAATGCCTACTTTTTGGTTTCCTTGAGTCAGCCAACTTCCTGCGCCGGAAGCTTTTGTCTGCCCCAACTGGCTCCTTTATTTAACAAATTCCCTTTATCTCCCGCTTGAGGCAAAGCTCGCTTGGCCCTGGGAGCAATATTTACTTTACTAAAGGCCCTCCCCCACCCCCTGCTTCCGTCTGGCAGTTGTCTGCCTTTTCCTTGGGTTTGCAGTCGTGTCCTGACTCTTCTCCGTAGACACCAACTTTTGTAAATAGTACGATTATTCAGAACAGAATCAAACATGTCTTTTACCGCTAGAATTGGGACCTTGAAATTCACTAAGCAAAGTACATACTCCTCTCACTTCTGAGCTTTGAGTCCAGACTATGAAATTCAGAAGGCCCAGCAACTCACGCCAACTGAAATGGAAATGCCAGCTGAACATCAGGGCAAAGGGATTTTTAAAAGCTAAAACACAGGGTGGGGCAAAAGTAGGTTTCATTGTTTGTAGGGGAAATAATACAATGAATAACAATACAAAAATAAACTTTCACATACAACTGTAAACCTACTTTTGCCCCACCCTCTGTAATAAAGCAACTAAGATAAGACATCTGAAGCAACAACCACCTCCTGGGAGGAGAGCGGAGGGAGCAAGGTTTTGAAGGGAAGGGATGTGAAAAGATGGAGAGGCTGGCAGGTGAATTTATAATTAATTTCATTCTTACCTCATCTCCTTCTGTTATACTACTTTACATTCTTGGTAATTCTGTGACCAAAAGAGACAAGTTGAAAAGCTTTAAACTGAGTTTGTACCTCTCCTAATTCTTTTTGGCAGCCTCTTCCAGGTTTATGGTGGATTATTTATACATATGGCGAATTTGGCTCTAATATTAGCTTAATTCTCAAAGAACAACCCTGTTATTTTCTTAGGTATTAACTATACATTTTTAAGTTTTTAAAAGCATATAGCCCGGCCGGGCGTGGCTCAGCGGTTGAGCATTGACCTAGGATCCAGGCGATCAAGGGTCGATTCCCAGTCGGGGCACATGCCCGGGTTGCGGGCTCGATCCCCAGTCCAGGGCCATGCAGGAGGCAGCTGATCAGTGACTCTCTCATCATTGATGTTTCTATCTCTCCCTCTCCCTTCCTCTCTCTGAAATCAATAAAGACATATTTAAAAATAAATAAATAAAAGCATATAGACTATAACTTGTTTTTTCATCACTATTATCTAATAGTGCTTTAATTAGCCAGTTTATGAGTTCTCATTTAACCATGAAATCTGCCAGAACAAAATGGCCAATCCAAAAATAGTGTGCAATTTCAAATATAAATTTCGATTTCTATTATTTATGAAAAGTCTTTTTGTATTTTAAAACATCTGTCTTAACATGTTTAAAATGACAAAATGTAATATTAGTAGCAACAAAATTTTTGTTGACAACCAAAACAGAAACAACTTAAGTTGTATTACATCTGTGATATGATATATTCTTTATGCAAATTAAATTTTTTATAAGAATTTGAGTCAAAACTGAAGACATGTGCCGGGGAGCAAGATCACAAATGCTCAGGAGAATAAGTCTCGCAGTTTCTTTTATGCATTTGAAACTAAGGAGGGAGCGAAGGAAGATGAGGGTGGGAGAAAGCAAGGCAGGGAGGAGATTACAGGACTGTGCACTCTTGAAGATGGTCGTGCTACTGTTGTAACTAATTAGTTGATATTAATAATGGGAGGAAAGCAAAGGGGAGGCCAGACATTGTAAGCCTGGTCATCTTGGGCAGCTTCACCAGAAAGCTGCACCCTTATGCTCCCCAGGGAATCAGAGGTCCATTCCTACAGATCACTGGGGAAAGAGGTCTACAAATTAATTTTTAAAAAAATTTTTGATTTTCGAGAAAAATATAAAATTGTTCCACTTATTTGTGCATTCATTGGTTAATTCTTGTGCCGACTGGGGATTGAACCCACAACTTTGGCTTATTGGGACAACACTCTTAACAAACTGAGCTAGCCAGCCAGGGTGTAATATGATATAGTCTCAAGGAGAAAAAGCAGACTGCAGAACAAGATGCATATAATTCCATATCTGAATAGGGAGAAGGGTTATAATTCTATTTATGTCATGTGTATGCATGAAAATGTCTGGATGGAAAGACATCAAAGTTAACAGTGGTGTTAACAAAGTTAACTGTAATTATCTTGTTTTAATATTTTATTAATAGTTTTTTTTAAGGGAATGACAAAGTCACACTGAGGTGTCAGGAAGAACCAAAACTTAATCTTTCTCTTCATTAACTACCTGAATTCCACTCTTTTCTTCATATCACAAATGCTTTGGCTGAGAATATTCGAGAAACCACCTCAACCTTGGCTAATATATTTAGGAAAAATAGGGAATCTTACTAGTCTTAAATGTAATTATCAATTTTAAGATTCTTTCAAATAAATATATTTCTAAATTCTGACATGCAGAGATTGAAGATGTAATGAATGCCAAGTGAAAAAGCAGTTTTCAAATGAGAATGTATGGTAGTCCTGTTACAACATATCCATTAAAATTCACACGTAAAACCACCCACATACAAATAGCTGTAGGAATAGTGTTTATAACTGAATAGATGTTTTACTAGATTCACTTCATTATGCATCTCTATTGCTGAAATTTGTTTTTAATAGCAAGTTTTAGTTTTGCAATCAAAATGTCCAATTTTATAAAAAGCTAAATCAAAATGTTCTTTGGTTCCTTGGTGATTGTGGATTTTATTATCCCCTGCCTTAGTTTTTTTCACCTTTAATATCCACCTGTTGGTTATAAGAAGCAATAACTGAATGGCATTTCCATAAATGGCTAATTTCCAAAAGCAAACAATGAACATTGGAATTTAATCTTTTTTCCACTTTTCGATCTTTCTTTCCTTTTTCTCCTTCAGTACCTAGTATGATGCTTTGAAGGTAATAGGTGCTCCTGTCCTTTTTGCCATTCTAAATCTTAATTCTTAGCCACTTCTTGCCTATTCCCAAAGTCTTCTAAGCCACTTAATCCAAAGCAAACAAGCAGCAATGGGTGTATGTGTGTGTAAAAAATTGTCCCATGGCACAAGCTAAACTTGGAGTTTCCCGGGCTCTAACACTATAATAAAAACTATATTCCCAAGTTTCTAGACTGTGGTTCACCATTCACTATTTCCTCAAATTTGTTGTCTATTATGTGCATTTAGCTAGAGCCAAGAATTTTGTAGAAATGTTAGTGACAAATTATCTTTTAAAAAATGCTCTAGTTTAATCTAAATTTTTCCTTCACTCATACATTCAAAATGTAAGTGAAAAAGGCAGGTGGCAGGAAGGGATAAATTTTCTTCAAAGTCAGAATCAAATTGGCTTGAATTTTAAGACTGAAAAGTGGTGACCTAGAGCCTGGCCTCTGGTCTCAGTTCGATTCCTGGTCAGGGCACGTGCCTGGGTTGTAGGCTGGATCCCCCAGTTAGGAGGAGTGCAGGAGGCAGCCGATCACTCCCACCAGTCTTTCCTTAGACTGATAGAAACATGTCCGGCTGGCATGGTTCAGCAGTTGAGCTTTGACCTAGGATCCAGGGGATCCCAGTTTGATTCCCGGTCAGGGCACATGCCTGGGTTGCGGGTAAGCTCCATCCCCAGTGGGGGGTTCTGCAGGAGGCAGCTGATCAATGACTGTCTCAACATTGATGTTTCTATCTCCTCCTTTCCTCTCTCTGAAATAAATAGACATATTAAAAAATAATAAAAATTTTAAAATCAACAAAAACACATTTTTAAAAAAGAACCAACTAATAAATGCATAAATAAGTGGAACAAATAATTGTTATTTCTCTCTCTAATATCATTAGTTAATTAATTAAGCTGGTTTTAAAAATTGTGATTTATAGTTGGTCTACAAATTTAATAGTGTCAAAAAATCATTTTTTAAAAGTTTAAAAATAAACTTATTTCAACATAGTTCTTTCTGGCAGGGTAGAATTACACTAAAGAGCAGTCACAGAACTTTTCATATATTACAAGGTGAGATTCCAGTATTTGCACCCCCCACCCCCAGCCTGCCTTTCAGATTCAGCCTCTTTGCAAACCCAAGAGCTCTGCTTATCACTTTCCAAATCTTCCAGATGTGCCACTCTTCTTTAACTGAAAATAACCACAAATTGTACTGTTTCAATATTTCACACACAAAGAGGGAACAAGTTTGTTCAGGTCTAATTAATTACTCCCCTAGCATCGTATCCTTGGTGACTTTTACTTTACTCACGTCTAAGATAGCAATCTACCCAATGGTTAGAGATTTCCGTTAATTCCCCTCACCCCATCAAAAATGCAATACCCATGTTCAGCATTTTTACTCATTAGACCACTGGCTGAAATCAGGGCAGAGACAACTAATGGTAAAATAGACGTTTTATTTCTTTGTATTTAAACTTAAAAACCAACCAGCCCAACTGGTATTATCATGATACAGCAAAATATAAAACATCTTTTACAAATACTTGAGTAATAAACAAATTAAGGGTCTCAGTAAAACAGCAAAAGGGGCAGAGGAAATCAGTGAAGCATATTATAGCTTAACCATTTACCTGAAGTGAAGTTTTTAGCAAGCCTCCCAATCCCAGAAAACAGAAATAATCCTTTATCACACACCTTTGTATTTTTACTTTCTATTCTTGAGGCTAAGATTCTAGAGAGTTATCCAAAATAGTATTATATCTAATTATAGCCAGAGACATCTTTTATCCTTTGTCTAAGCAGCAAGGCTACAGAAACCTCTTCAGTTAGACTCCAGCCATGCCCCAGTCCCCTCCCTCCAAATTGGCAGTGGGCACTATGAGAAGCAGCAAATCAAGGCAGAGATACAGAGAAAACTCCTAGGAGAGGTAACACAGCCCCTGCCCAGACGGAGACTGAATGATATACCCATCGGCACAGCGTGTGTTCATGGCTGTATGTTTGTGGAGTCAGGCTGCATGTTCATGGAGTAGTCTGGGAATAAATCCGCGGTTTGCTGGGTATTACAATACTTAGCAGTTTGCAGTATTGCATCGTAGGTTTCCCCAGCAGTTTCCAAGGTGGCCTCCAGTTCGCTGACAGGGTTTTGCTGGAACTGGATCTGGGGCTGCAGGGATTCCTCTCCGTAACTATAGAACTGGTTGTTCCAGGCCTGGTTGTTCCAGGCTTGGGGGCACCAGGTCTGGCTATTCCAGGAATGGTAGTTCCAAGATGGGCTGTTCCAGGAATGGTTGCTCCAAGGTAGGTTACCACAGGTCTGGTTGCTCCACACTGAAAGGTTTCCAGAAGCGTTCACCAGGCATCCCTGGTGACAGGAAGAGAGGCCCAGGTACTCTGTAGTTGCTGAGCTCATCTGAAAGAGAAGGGCTGGTTAACTGAAAGGGTACAGGAAAATCAGAATCGTCTGTGGATGGGGTTTAATGCTTCAGCAATAGACAAAACTAAAAAGTCATTGAAAGGAAAGAGCAGAATAAATAAGTTTCCCGTTACCTGGGGCATACGGTTGCTATTCTTTGGCCAGTTGTATTTCTGCCACCTCTTGCATTTCATTCTCTGGTTCTGGAACCAGGTCTTAATCTGCAGGGAAAAGGTGACAGAAAAACTTAAAATAGTAGTAATGCAGATGTGCTAGGAATTAAAGAATATTGTTAACATTTCCCCCCGACAATTACAACTGTCTAAAGCTCAGGAACAAGATTTGGATTTCTAGAGTCTTTAAAATTCGTGAACCAATATTCTATCAACAGATTTCTAAGCCCCTCAAGTCAGGTGGCTGCTTTTTGTATAATAAACCTAACTAGTTAAGACAGACTGCATATCTACTCACCAGCAAGTGCAATGCACATGTAAACATCTATTCACCTCCCTTTAATTTACCCATGCCATTAGTCAGTTAACGGTAATCTGTTTGCAATAAAAAGTGCCTCCCATGCTCGGCCAGCGTGGCTCACAGGTTGAGCATCGACCTATGATCCAAAAGACTGTGGTTCAATTTCCCTATCAGGGCACATGCCCGAGTTGCAGGCTCGATCCTCAGCAAGGGGAGTGCAGGAGGCAGCCAATCAATCAATGACTCTCATCATTGATGTTTCTATCTCTCTCCCTTCCTCTCTTTGAAATCAATATATATGTTTTTTAAAAGTGCCCCCCATATAAGCACATTACATATTTCATGATCATAGTGGTATTTAATTCAAGAATTATGAAATATACAACTAGGACAATTATTTAGAAATTATCAAGTTAGAAAATGAGATCACAAAAGGATGTATGTATACACACTTTGAATGTTTATAAAGTCACTGTTTATTAACATACAGTACATTTTCAAAATTTAAAAGAACCTACAGAAATGAATAATTTTCTTGTCAATCCCCGTTTTCACACTGATGGCCTTTCTGGTCCAGGCACTGCTGATAACTCAAAGCAACAGAATCACAAACATCAGGAGTCATTTCACCCTCAATTCGTTGACCATTGCCAGTTTTGTATAGTAAACTTTGTGTACATTTTTTTTGGGACACCCTGTATAATAAAATCATGTAATAGACGTTTCAAATATGTAATTTGGTTTCAAATATAGAACCAATGATAGGAAACCATAAAATATTTTACTGAATAAAATGCCAATAAATGTGTGAAAAAAAGAAATGTATGAAAAATTATTAACCTCATTAGTAACTGAACGCACACAGATTAAAAAACAAAAGATGCATTTTTTACTTTAACGAGAGCCAGTGTTGGTTAGGGACTCTGCTAACCTGGAAGGTGGGAATATATGCCTTGTTTGATTAAGGCAAAATTGGAGACATTCTCATAATTTTGGTTTGTGCAACAGGGAAAAATGTTAAATAAATTAAGACACATTCACACAACAGGCTGATTAATGAAAGAAAGATGGTTATGAAACATGTTACAAAACATTCCGTTTTCATATTAAATTATTTGTAGGGGGTGTTGCATAGAAAGATGTTAGCAATGCTTACCTGCAAATTAGCTGTATTTCTTAAAAATTTCTTATTGCAAAGACAACGAAACAAGCTTACCTGTTTGTAGCTAAGGTTCAGGATGGTGGAAAGTTCTTGCATCTGCTGGAGGCTGAGGTATTTCTGTCTCTGGAACCTCTCGTTGAGGACGCAGAGCTGGGTCTGTGAGAACACGGTTCGGATCTTCTGCTTCTTGGCCTGGGCCTTCTCCCCCTTCCCTGCGCTGCTCTCCCCAGAGGCGGGCAGTATTACCCTGGGACTAGTGGAAGAGTCAGGGCTGTTCTGAATAAGCAGATCCGTGGAGGAAGGAAGAGGAGAGACTGTTGGGAACAAAAACACCACCTTTCTCTAAAGCTTTTTAAGCATTACATTCGCAAATTTACTATTTTCAAAGTCCTCACAACCTCAGAGCTAGGTAGTAAGTAACAATTTCTAAGCAACCTGAATAACAATTTGCCCACCTTTGTACAATCCAGTAAGAGTACCGGTGTGACCCTTTTACATACGATAGACGTGACTAATGCTGCTGGGGAACAGTGGGACTCAGACCTCACTGACCGCACCCTTCCTGTTCATAAAGGTCAAAGCGGATTACTTGACTCTCACCTACTGTGTCCCTTTGTAACTTCCTTTTCTTTTTGGTAACTTCCTTTTGTAATCTTAATCATTACCTTCATAATTTTTTCAACTGATGATCAGCTCTTTGAAGCTAGCACCAAGCCATGGGCATCACTGGGGACAACTGGCACAAGCGCCCCGAGACCAGGGGACAGAGACAGAAAGCCCCACATGAAGTGAAAATATGAGTTGAGACACCCTGCTGCCAACACTAAGATTGGCCCCTGCGGCACCCACGCAGTCTGAGTGCGGGGAGGCAGCAGGAAGTGCCCGGCCTTGAGGTTAGACGTGGGCAACCTCCCCTGGGCCTCGGGGTGTTCGCGCGAAGCCAGGATTATTGACGGGCCTGCAACGCATCCGACAACGAACTGGTCGCAGCGACCCTACGAAAGAGCTGCCTCGTGCTCATGGATAGCACACCGTGCGGACAGTGGCAGGGGTCCCTGGGGCCGCAAGAAGGGGCCAAGCTGACTCCAGAGGAGGAAGAGAATTTAAAGAAGAAAAAAAAAATCAAAGAGAATTCAGATGAAATATGATGAAAGGAAAAAGAATGCCGGAGTCAGCAGTCTTCTAGAGAGCAGTGCAGCAGGGCCAGCTTCTTGCTTGCATCGTTCCAAGACCAGGCCCGGGTGGCCACGCAGGTGGCTCTGCGCTGGAGAGCAAGGCGCTGGGGTTCCAGCTGAGGAAAATCAACGCCCGGAACAGCAAATAAATCTTCCTCCCTCCTATCTTAGCTCATGTGATAAAGGTGTTTATTTTTAAAAAGTAAAATAAAAATATAAACTGATGGTCAGATTTTAGCAATCCTATAAAATCAGCAGATTACTTACTGCCCATTTCTGAACACCAGCACTAACAGGACATGGGGATTTCGATAGGCTTCTGTTTCAATCCAGGCTTGACTTTGCCTTTATTCGCTCTGGAACCTCATCTCCAAAATTATTCCTCCCTCACTCAGTTTCTTCATTGATTAAAAGGAGGTAATAGATAAACATTGTCTAGCACAAGACCCAAGTATATTGACTTTGTAACTGAAAATTAATTTCCTGTATTATCTAGATTTAGTACGCACTTTGCTTCTTGTTTGCACTGAGGAATTCCCAGTTCTTAACTCCAATTCTACACCCTAGTCATGGCATAAATGCACAAGCTTTAAAAGGCAAAAAGTCACAATCCCATGCTTCCTGCAAGTAGATCTAAGAAGGAAAGTACTCAATTAATGACTAGAAGTGGGGCGTGTTTTAAAAATCAACCACCTATACAAACTTGCACTTAGCTTGCTACAGAGGACATGCCACCTCTTCATTCTCAAGCTATTTCTCTCACGATCCAGTATTTCCAATGTTTGAAATTATCAAAGGACATTAACACAAAGTTTAGGAAAACAAGATAACATTAAAATCTAACAAGAAAATAAATAAATAAAATCTAACAAACATAGCAGTAACTCCTCCACAAGTTAGTTTTTCAGTTGTATTAATAATGTAAATAGTTCTTAAGCCATTATTTTATACTATGTTAAAAATGGTATTCTTGGGTAAAAGTTGGTTTACCCTTTTTTTAACAAACGGATTTCCAAAAAAGTGGTATTGGTTACAAGTATCCCAAGATCCCCTACCCCCCACAGTTATCATTTAGAAGCCTAAGTGCTAGAGTACAGGTTTTGAAGCCAAACTGGATTTCAATGACAAACTCTAGTCACTTTGTCAGCAGATTAAACCTTCTGGAATTATCGACCATAAAGTGGTATGAACACTTGGGATTTAGGAGATTTGAGCATAACATGCTCATAGAGCTTTCCATTAACACCTATACACCCAAAGGGTGGGAGAAAAGCCGACTGCTAGTTGTAGAAAGATAAAACATTTCAACAAGGTGAGATTCATGTAATTAGCCATGCCATTCCTGGCATTCCTGGCATTGACGGCCTGGAAGGTGATGGTCACCACCGACACCCTGCCCCCACCCCCTGGGAGGTGGTGTTACCACTTCTGGCTCAGCAATATTTACTGTTACTGTGTGCCGGGCACGGTGTTAAGGTTTATACATCAGCTTATTTATCACAACGCATTTGTCTCCACAGTGTCTACACACAGAAGCTCTCGAACATACAGGATGCAGTTGAACTGCTGTGTCCCAAGTCCCTAGTCTCAGCACACAATTCCTGACACCCGACGTGCAGGTGAAAGGGCACGTGCCACTAAGCTACAATTGAAAGAGAGGTGTCACAAGGATTAATAGATAATGACACCTGCTTCTATAAATGGGCTGTAATTGCTCAAGAGGAAAAATGATGACCCTTTCCCCCTTTCCTTTTCTAAGATTCAAGTTTTTCTTACCAGTCTCTGTGTGGAGTGTCTCAGCAGATGACATTTGCAAGGATGCGTAGCTTTCTTCAGGCTCATAAATCTCGGGCGCTGGTGAAGGCTCCCTAGAATTGGATAATTCAGAACAGGGCAGACTTTGGGGACAAGCCGAATCGACACTCATCTTGCTGAGTTGAAGGAGGGAGGAAAGCACCACCAAAGAGCTAGATTGTAAGAAAGGCCCAGGCTTATGTATCTAGACAGAAGAGTTTAGAGATAATACAAAGATCTTTAGATGTGAAAGTATCAAAAAGATGGGAGGAAAGAGTCAGCTTTGCAGTAACAGGAGCCAACCAGCCAATTTTGAGAAAGGTGAAAAAGTTGGAGGCTGAGATTTATAAGGGAGGCTCAACCAAATTTAGACCCGCCCCTCCTGGCAGCCCCACACCCACACACACCCTAGCGAATTCTCAGTTAATCCCGTCTGCCAGTCTCACCAAGGCCATTGTGATGCAAAAGGTAGCTGCGGAATCACCCAGACTGGGTGGGGAATGAGAAAACTGGGGCCTCGGACAAAATAAAGCCAGCAATGAAATACTGCCACCATCACATTTCCACCTTTTAAAATCAAGGATGCACCTCCAGTTCCTGAAGCTACCTCAGGTGAATGAAACTCCCACTAGGACAATTAATTTCTTGATCTCCAGACCCCTAGAAATCGGGCTAGATTTTTCAGCTCGCTCCGTTTTCCTCTTTGATTCACCCTGAGGTCACAATAAAACACACATTGTGTGTTGCTAAGGCTTCAATTGAGGTTAAAAATAGTATGTACTTGTTTTTAACTTCCATAGAAGTTGCTTCTTGCTTTTGAGTTTTCAGAAAGACAGGCTAGTCTTACTAAGAGGAGTGTTGTCTTGTTTTCAACTAAAGCCAGAGACCAGAAGCTGTGATGTGCTAAGATGCTTTGGTGCCGTTAGTAATTAGTTATGCACATACCATTACCATGGAAGATTTTTAGTTTCTTTACACATGTTACTGGATAGAATCTTGGTTCAGGCACTTTTAAAAAGTCTGTTCCCTCATCCATAAATAGGGACAAAAGTACCTTCCCTGTGTTGTAAGAATTAAAGAAAATAAAGTGCTAAATGCATTATTCGATGCTTCAGTGACCTACAAACGGGACTGTTAGTAGAAATTCTATCAGGATCTTATGCCCATGACCTTCAAGTTTGAAATTACCTTTTGCTGTGATTTTTATTTTAATCTAGTGGACAACGTGATAGAATGAAAACACACCTTTTAATTTTACCTGAGCAATCACTAGATGTAAAATAATGAAATGTATTGACCAACCCAAGGGAAAGGAGGAAGTTAAAGAAGAACAACCTCTAGGCAAATGATATTCCTATAATGGACCTTACGAAAGCATTTGTGATAGGTTCCTTTTAGAGCCGATTCCTGCCCTCCCATCTATCCCTCTTTCCCAAGCGGTCTTCATTTTCTGCCCCACCCCCACCTCCTCTGTCGCTTTTTTGTAATCAGCTTTTTCTTCTCTGGCCTGGCAATTCGGTCAAGTCCTTCAACCCGACTCCATCCCCAATGCTGTTCTTTTTTGGTATGTCTTCCAAAGGGACAGTCTTTAGAGTTGGGTTCCAGCACTAACATATTTATGACAAAGATAACAGTGTACAGCTTTCAATTCTCCTCCCCATTTCCAAACTCAACATTCAAGAAATTTAAGATTTCCTCCTCCTTTTCAGTCTCCCACTCCTAAAAGTAAAGCCTTTGCAAATCCCAATCATATAGTTTTCTAAAATACAACTCTTGACTAATCCCTCCATGCACTCTGCTACATGGGTCTCCACCGAGAGCTGCTGGCTTTGCGCCCGTGCAAGCTGGTTTTTGTTCACAATGCAAAGATGCCAAACTTGTGAGTGTACGAACAGCGCCAGGTCCAAGCAAGGGGATGAAATTCTATGTAAAATTTTCTCTGTCTTCGCAGACCATCATTCTGGAGGGGAAGGGTCAGGAATAGGGGAGTCAAGTACAGGGTGGGTGGAAGGGTGGGTGGAAAGGCATTGTGCTTCAGGCAGATAGTCTCGGTCTCATTAGAAATAGGATATGATTTCTTTAAAACAGGGAATGTGAGGTGATGGACATTAACTGAACTTATTATGGTAATCATTTTGTGTCATGTACATATATAAAATTATTATATTGTAAACCTTAAACTAATACAATGTTATATGTCAATTTACATCTCAATAAAACTTGGGGGGCAATAAATGAAGGGGCGCACTTGACTTCCTGGCTCTCAATTAGCAGTCTGGTCAATGAGAGCAGCCAAAGCCACAGGGCTTGGTTTTCCTGCAGCTCTCCAAACTGCAGGTACCAGGAGCTTTGTTCTCTGCTGAGGAGGGTCTTTGCATGAAAGCCTGGGACAAATTCACCCCATCCCCCTGACCCGTGTCCCATTGTATCTAGTCTGAGAGCCTCCGGAATGAAAGGTTAAGAGGCAGGGGGTGGTAGCTAGAAGGCAGACTTCCCACATTCTTGGCCCAGGACAGCCATTTGAATAAGGCTGGGAATGCTTCAGAAGCTGTCGGAGACCTTGGGTTTGTTTGGGTAGGTTGTGCGGGTGGAGGAGGGGTGCGTTAGAATGTGCCCCAGTCCAGGGCTGCCCATGTAAGGGATTCAATGAAACCCTTATTTTAGATTTTACGGGTGTACCTTGGAGATCCTGGGGGTTCCATCCCAGACCACCACAATGAAACAAATACCATCATAAGGAGAGTTAGACAAATTTTTTTGGCTACTCAGTGCATATAAATGTTATGTTTACTCCACTGTCACCTATTAAGTGCAATAGTATTATGTCTAAAATGCAGTGTACATACATTAATAAAAAAATATACATTTTGCTAGAAATGTTAACCATCTTAGTGTTCAGTGAGTCATAATCTTTTTTTAAAAAATTATTTTAAAGTTTTTTTTTTTATTGAGGGAATATTGGTTTATAACATTATAGAAGTTTCAGGTGTTCAACATTATAATTCAACATCTGTGTGTCCAACATCATGCACACCACCAAAAGTCTAGTTTCCATCCATCCCCATACAGTTGAGCCCCTTTATCCTAATTCTATCTTCGTTACATCGTTTCACTCTATCTAATAAGCTCATTCAATAAGGAACTGTTCCCTGTCAACATATGCACAAGCATGTGTGTATATATATATATATATATATATATATAGTGATTTAACAAACATGTATTGGCCAGGAAATATTTATGTATTTATTGCTCATTTGTTGAAATTATAGTAGAGAGATCCCAGAGGTAAAGAAGTGACAACGGGTAGTAAAAAAAATACCTGTAAGTTTTTAATTAAATCTCCTCTTGTCATTAGTTACACTGTCCTAGTGTTCTTCCTACTAACCTGGTGGTTCTGTCTGCTTTCTGGTTCTTCCTTATTCCCTGTATAACTAAAAGAGTACCAAAGCTTAGTGCTCAAACCTCTTTTCTACTTGCACTCACTACCTTGGTGATCTCATCCTGTCATAGGACTTTAAATACCATCTATATGCTTTTGACTTTCAAATGTATATCTTTATCCCAGAACTAGTTTCCTATCTCAAGTCTCATATATCCAACTCTTTACTTAACAGCTCCACTTGAATTTCTAACAGGCAGCACACAATCAATATTTCCAAACAAAACTTCCAATATTCCTCCCTACACAAGTTCTTCCTATATCTTCTCCATCAGCGTGTGACAGTCCCCCCTGTTTAGTTGCTTAGGCCAAAACTGTAAAACCATCTTTGTTTACTAGGCCATCAAAATATATCCAGAATCCAGTTGCTTCTTTTTAAAATTATTTTTCCTCCACATGTTTCCTTTTTTCACTGTTTAAGTTTTATATATATATATATATATATATTATTTTGTTGTTGTTGATCCTCACAGGAGGATATTTTTTCCACTGCTTTTTTTTGTTGTTGTTGTTGTTGTTGTTAGAGAGATAGTGGAAGGGAAAGAAGGAGAGAGAGACATTGGTTGACTCCTGCCACCCCTGCCAGGGCTTGAGTGAGTTTGTGATCATCACATGAACTAGGGCTCAGAGAACCAGCAGAATAGCAAGAAATGGTTATTTCTTTTATTTTTATTTATTTATTTATTTTAAAGAGCATGTATTTATTTTGTTATTGCCTGAATCACAGAAGAGCTGGGGCTTAAAATGACCTGTGTCCTCTGGCAAAAGAGCAAGCTCACCTTGGCAAGTGTTCCAAACAAGCTGCACTTAAACCTTTGCTAAGTATCCCTAAGGCTACCACCCTACCCAAACTACCATCTGTTGCTTGGATTATTCCAAAAGCCTCCCAACTGATCTCCTTGTTTGCACTCTCACCTTCCTGTAATGTAGTCTCTACTCATTGGCCAAAATGAAATTTTTAAAATGTGTATTTATTGATTTGAGAGAGAGAGGGAGAGAGAGAGAGAGAAGTCCATTTGTTGTGCCACTTATTTATGCACTCATTGGTTGATTCTTGTGTGTGCTCTGACTGGCATCAAACCTGAAACCTTGGCATATGGGGATGATGCTCTTACCAACTGAGCTACCTGGACAGGACTTGTTCTAGCTCTTTCAGCTGGGAGTGGAACCCAGGAATCTTGTCTTTTAAGAATCTCTAATTCTTTCTTTTTCACAACAGGTTTGCTGCCAGAACACAGGTGTCATGAAAACGATGACTAACCCAAACCCAAAATAGGAAAGGAAAAGACTCAAATCATCATTGTCATCATTGGACACATAGGATCCAGCCATCTGACCTACAAATGCTGTGGGATGGACAAAAGAACCATCAGAAAATTCAAGAAGGAGGCTGCTGAGGTGGGGGAGGGCTCCTTCAAGTATGCCTGGGTCTTGGATAAATGAAAAGCTGGACATGCCCTGGCTAATGTGGCTCAGTTGGTTGAAGCACTGTCCCATGTACAGAAAGGTCGCAGGTCTGATCCTGTCAGGGCACATACCTAGGTTGTGGGTTTGATCCCCAGTCCCAGTTGGGATACATGTGGGAGGCAGGTGATCAATGTTTCTCTCTCTCTCTCTCTCTCTCTCTCTCCCTCTCCCCACCCCCTTCTCTCTAAAAATCAATGAATGTCTTCAGGTAANGAGGCAGGTGA